ACCTTTTCTTGGCTTATTTGTACACATCTGTGAGTGGGGCTTGTCTTGGGGAAAGAAACAGCAAAACCACAAGTTTACTTAAAAAGGCGATTTGCTCTGGTGGAGGTGAGATGCTGCCATGGTCCTGAGTGCCGATGCCAAACCCTGATGCTGCCAGAGCTGGTGACAACCTCAGGAAAGAGGAATTTTTTTTTTTTTTCTTTTTTTTAATTCTGCTACCTGGTCTCTGAGCCCGAGAGCAAATCTGCCTTTGGGAGAAGAGAGTGCAAACGATGCGCAGGGATTTCTTTGGAAAAGTGCTGGGTGAAGGCAGGCCTGGGGGAGGCTGAGCCTGGCACAGCCGGATTCTGCAAGAGGGAACATGCTGGGGAGAGGAGAGAGGTTGGGAAATCGCTTATTCATCAGGATTGAAGGCAGCCTGGGCAGGTGAGGGGCAGGGGAAGGAGTTGGCAGGGGTGGAACAGGCAGGAGGGGGATGCCAGGACTCGCAGCGAAGCAATGCCGTGAAGAGCTGGAAATACTAAATGCTCCCAGCTAGTTTCTGGGTGCACCTTGCTCAAGGTGCCCCTTGCCCATGCTTCACCTTTGCGTGCTAAAATTCACAGAGGTAAATCCAACAGATGAGATTTCCAAGGGAAACTCCTTTCCCATTCAAGGAATTTATTCCCAGTATCTTCTGATTGCCAGCCCCACTCTTTAACACTCAGATGCAGGATTTCAGTGATTCAGCCAGGAGCAAGATGCTGTTTGGGGAGATTCCTGGTGTTTTCTGCCAAGACTGACCTCCGTCCCGGTCCTTGCCGGGGTCTCGGGGTTTTGCCACCTTTTCTGGTGGGTGCCCCTGCAAAGGGGCGATTTGGGCAAGTCCCTGTGCAGCTGGGTTTGCCGCATGTGCCGGCTGGCATCTCCGTGGCAGCAGAAACACCACCTTCTGCTGACAAGTTCAACTTTTTCTTGCCCAACTTGTTGCCTTTTTTTATTTCAATAGGCTAGATACGTTCTGATCCAGAAAAGTTTGCTGTTCTTCCTTCAGCCTTGTTTTCCTAGACAATTAAATGTAAAATTTTTACTGCTGAGGGTTTTGCTGCATTTTTCCCCATTTTATGTGATGATGAAGGAGGGTGCAGGGACTGGGGGGACTGCCCTCCCATCCCCAATTTCCCCCATCCCACGAGACGCCCGTGGATCCAAGCGTGCGGCAGATTGCTGGTACCCGGCACGGATGCTTTCCCGTGTGAACCGAGCGAAGGATGAAGGACCATCAGGTGAAGGTAGCGGGTTTGGGAGCAAATACGGTGCCGAGTTGGCACTGGGTTGCAGTCTTTTGTCTTCCAACATGTGTGCCAAGAGCCCTGCGGTTCGACCGCCGAGGTTATCCGGTGACGGCAGAGGCGTTCGGCTCCGGCGCTTCACCATGCGAGCCAAGCGCAGAAGCGGCAGTGCTTTATCGGATGGGAGACCTGGCTGTTGCTGACCAGATAAACCAACATGGTGTTACCCTGGTATTCCTTTGGTTTAGGAGTAATTGCGATCCGCCTGATGCCACAACCAGTTGAGTTATTTGTGTCCCATCGCCGACGCTGCGGCAAATAGAGCTGCTAAGCTCTTTTAAAAATTAGGTCATTTAGGAGATCCGTCCTCTGACATTTTGACCTTTGTTTACTTAATGTTTAAGCCTCTGAAACAAAACAGCAGCGATGCCCGGTGTGTCCGGCTGTCGTTGGAGGTGAGGGACAGTGGGATGCTGACGTTGCCACACTGTGACCCCCCCAGCACCGTCGGGAAGTGAGGGGGGG